CTGTGTTCCCAGATTGCCTGTGTTCCCAGATTGCCTGTGTTCCCAGAAATCTATCACCCACTCTCTAATACATCCAACAACTGAGTACAGCTCTCTGGGTGGAGAATTCTAAATTTTAGAGCCAGAGATAACACCCATATTTGCATCTGCCCAAACGAGCTATCTAAGAGTAATGTGCGTTCCAGTTAGAACTGATGAAAGGTCACTGGTTTTCTCCTGTGGATGCTGAGTAATTGCAACTCTTTCTATTTCTAATCTGTTCTAGGGTGATTTGAAGAGTATTTGCTTGCACAAAGGGCAGTGAAAATCTGGAACTTGCATTTTTTTTGCATCATTGTATAATCTGAAGTGAAGTATTTGCCTCACACTGCAGTACGTGGGGATTTTGCCATATTGAGGAAAGGAAGAGAGGGGAAGAAACCTAAAAGCAGTGACCCTTTTACTGCTGACTATTTTGGCGTAGATTTTGAAGGAGCAATCTTCTGATGCCCTTGAAAAGCAAATGTCACATGATGGAAAACAAAATAACAAATAAAAATTTGTTTTAAAATGTGCTGCTGCATGCCAAAAAAAGCTCAATTGTGAGCAGCACTTAGAGTTAGAAAGTGGCGATTGAACCTATTTAAAAATAAAAGCAAGCAAAAAAAGTAATCATCATCCCAAACTGTGTTTTTATTGTCAGTTTTGTTTTGTCGTCAGTGCTGCACTGTTGGGGAAGCCGCCAGATAGTTCGGTGATGACAGTGGCAACAGGAAAGAACTTTGTATTCATTCCAAAAAAGGTGAGACCTCTTGGAACAGTGCAAGGCCCTATGGTCCTTTTGTTGGGATACTCACCTACCTAATCATTTGTATTAAACAAAAGAGAATGTTTATGTGGATGGCTGTACCTACAACTACCTGTAACTTCGGCTTTGTGTGTAAATCTCTGATAATATGCCTTTTCCACAGAATCTTGAATGAAGCAAGACTGTCTGTGGCACAAATTTCTGATGGTTCAATTTCCGTTACAATAATTCAATGAAACCTTTTTTCAATTGTCCACTCACTTTTTAAACTGTTGCAGAAAATCTTTTACAAACACAAACTGATGCTGGAGTGGTGTCACAAGGGTGTCGCCATTTTTAATTTTAAAAACACACCTTCCTAAATATGCCTGATAAGTGGTATCTTTTATTTCATTGCATTTCTTTGTCTCCCTTCTCCCCCCACCCTTAACTCACCAAGTGGACTCCATTGTTAAGACTGCACTTCCAAACCAGTGCTGCACCAAACAGATGTCCCTGTCTCCACCTCATTCCCCCAAAGGCTGACTTCAAAACTTGGCTGCTACAGGAGGATCCAGATTCCAGTTCCACGTATTGCAGAGTTCCCTGATTTCAGTGAGGGTGGTGGTGGAAGTATTACACGAGGATCCAATCTCCCTAACCTTAAGACAAAGAGCAGTCAGTATTTGCAGTCCTGATCACAATCCAGTGAACCTGTGCCTCACTGTGCTGATATTTGGGTGTTAGGTGAGGACATGTTTGTCAAACTGACTGTTGCTAACGCATGTGTTTGATGCCGCCCTGTTCCACAAACAAACCAAAATTATCATTCCTCAGTTTTGTTAATGCAATGTAATTAATAGGGTCTCACTACTTGGGATAAGTGTAAACATCTGTAATGTGTCAGGATCAAATCACTTATGCTTGTCTTGCTTTCAAAAAATAAATTATCATGAGTGATCCTAATACTGTAGGTATGTACATTTAATCTAATCTTTGAAATGACTAACATTGTCTGTTCCTCTCTGCAGACTCAGCAACACTTTCTAGTGTGCTTCTTCATCAAATTCAGCATCACTATTTTTGCCTACCTCATTTGCTTTGGGTTCATGCTGCAGGAATTTTGTAAAAAGTCCAATTCCTTCAACGTTACCAGCTGCACATCCATAATGAACAGGTGAGTGAGAGTAAAGGATGGTCTGTTCGTCACTAACTCCAGCAGCAGCTCCACGCAAAGAAAGATGTGCATTTCTTTAGCACCTTGCATGATAATTTAGAATGTCCTGAGATCTTTAGGAAACACGCAGCCTCACAAGTTAGATGCTGCAAGGCCCCACAAACTATCACGAGATAGTGAACAGAGTTATTTTTGTGATGTGGGCTGAGGAGTAAATATTGGCAGAGCATCAGTCAGAGTTCCACTACTCTTCAGAAAGCCTTGTGGGATCATCTGAGATTTTGTGCTTGGATCTCTCGAGTGGAATTTGAATCTGCAGTCTTACTTGAGAGATGAGAGAATTGCCTTTTGGACCAGTGCTGACTGAGGTTTATGTCCAGGTCTTTCTGAAAACTTCCATCCCAGAAAACTGAGTTTTTGTTCGTTATCATAAGTGGCTGTAAATCCCCGAAGGCAAAATGTAGTCTTCTCCAATAACAGACTAAGAAAACAGAAATTTAAAGCAAAACCATATGAAATAAAATGTCACAATATTATTTGTGAAATAGGAAAAGGGGTTAAAGAATGCTTCCATTTACAAAAGCTGATTTGATAGGAACACCTGTGAATGGAACAACAGACCTTGAAACAGGACGTGTTGCAGGTGCGAACTATGGAATTTCCATGTTCGCAGAACAGCCCCCAACATAGACGGATCCCAAGTATGGCGTTAATTTCCACAGTGAAGACATGGCCCTTTGTGTTTTGTTGAGACTGAGGTGTTGTGGTGTGATCTTTCTGATGGAATGAAGTGAAGAGGGAACAAATGTGGGTCTACGAGTTTATTGAGTAAAACTGAACTATGTCAAGTAAAAGTCAAGTTGTGCATTTTGCACCCAAATCAGTCAATCAAAGTTAAATTATTAAATAAGTGCTAATAAAATCACTTTATGGGCAACAAAATAAGTACAATTATCTATTAATTTCAAAACATCTCACATTAAGTCTATGTGAAATACTTTACCATAAAAATAGTTGCTATCGAGAACAGAGATAGTAGGAACTGCCGATGCTGGAGAATCTGAGACAACAAGATGTAGAGCTGGATGAACACGACAGGCCAAGCAGCATCAGAGGAGCAGGAAAGCTGATGTTTCGGGTCTGGACCCTTCTGAGCTTTCCTGCTCCTCTGATGCTGCTTGGCCTGCTATGTTCATCCAGCTCTACACTTGTTATCTGCTATTGAGAACAATTATTTTATGGAATTGAAAATGCTAGGAATATTTTAGATGAATTTACGTAGTCTCTGTGAGTTTATACCCCACTTTAATGGTGATCTAAGTCTGCTTTGTAAACAGAGTTTGAAGTTGCACCTCACCTCTGAATTTGTTTTAAACTGTTGTGTTAGTTTCAAAATAAGCTAATGCTTCACATCATCTGTACTGTCAATGTGTCTGACCCTGTGCAGTTCAATGTGGTGTTCAACAGGTGGCACTGTTCTATCAGTAGAGGGAGATTTTGATTATTAGACTTTGGAGAAACTATAGTGGGAAGTTAAAACTACTTTTAATATTTATTAACTCTGGAGGCCGGATTGCAAAAGATATTTACCAGTGTCAAATCAATTTCAGTAAGCAGTATGGAATGTGTGAAGTGTGGGAATGCTGCTCTCCAACCCCATCCTCAAAGTATAATTCTAGATCCTGCCCTTTCAGTGACTAAGTTCTGACTGCAGGATTATTTTGAGCTGTGCAGCTGTATGCTTTATTACGAGTAGCTTACAGGTCTTTTACTAGGGATAAAACTTGCTGATTTTAACAACATAGCACAAAGCATATTTACACAGTAAAGCACTGCACTATGTTCTTAGCATCGATACATATATATTAAGTTGCAGTAGTCCTACTGGACCAGAGTGCTGATCTCTTGTTAGAAGGAGACAGATGACTGGTGATGGCTTAACCTCTCTCCAACCAAGAGAAGAAGGTGAGCAGGAGGGTCCTTCATTTTAATGTCAGCCAGTGCAGGAATTGAACCCACGCTGTTGGAATTACTCTGGGTTACAAACCACCCATCCAGCCATCTGAGCTAACTGACCATCTCACAAACATAGACCCAGTTACTGTACAAGTGGTTTCCTCGCTAATAGGCTGGGGAGTGACCACATTTAAGTTGTCAACCTTTTCAGCAAAGCTCAGTCGCCAGCATTTGGTCTATCAGCAAGGAGCTCATCCTGGATGCTAACCCCAGAACTATCAGTGTTTTTAAAAAAAAATCTGCTGTCATTTGTCTGTACAGCCAACCCCCAGTTTACAGAGTGGTATTGAACCATTCTGAGCATAATGGGGTTGAGTCTGTGCTGATCGTAATCATAGTCATGGCTGTAGATGGCCTTAACATTCACCAGCTAAGAAAGAGTTAAAGGTCAACGTGTGCCTGTCCCTGAAGAGCAACAGGAATAATATCAGACCCTTCATCACCCTAGAGCCAAGAGCACGAGAAGCCTGATGATTGAAGCCTGCTGTATGGGCTTATTTCCGGAATATATCCGGGCTGCTTTAACATATCCATTGATGAAGTAGTGTTCATTCCTGGTTTAATTCCCACATCTAGAGTTATCAGTCTCTCTCTCAAGCCTGAGTATAGTGGGAGTTACCAATGTTGACTCGGCACTTGTTAATGAGGACGGACAACTTGCTTGAATTGTAGTCACGTTCTATTGCTACCAGGGTCGGGGGGGCGAGGCCGTGAGATGGCCGAACGCCCCTGTGACCATCATGTATTATCTTGTGGTTTCGCTTTAGTTCTGCAGACGGAGCGCCCATGTGGTTCGGCAAGTATTCCAATGGCTTATTGCTGGCTCAGAAGGTGATGACCTGTTTCATTGTTCTGCACACAGGTAAGAGAAACAGGACGTTCTCTGGAAGGGTATTAGCTTTGTTTCTTAAACCAGTCCATTAGAATTTTATTTGGATGCCACAGGAAGTATCACTATCCCTTTCAAATAGTAACTGCCTGGAGTTAGACCATAAGATTTAAGAACAGAGTAGACATTTTAACACGTTGAATGGCAGAACAGTCTCAATGAGATGACTGATCTAATAATCCTCAATTTCACTTTTCTGTCTTTGCCTTCATAACCCTTGACTTCTTTGATTAGAAGTCTGTATATCTCAGCCTTGAATATACTTATCCTAGACGCTACACTGCTCTGCGGTGAAGAATTCCATAGATTCACTACTCTGAAGAAACTCATCCTCGTCTTAAATGAGCAACTTTTTATAATGTGATTATTCCCTGTGGTCCTAGATTCTCCCACAAGCTCACATCTAACCTGTCAAGTCTGCTAAGAATTATGTATGTTTTCAATAAAGTATTTTCTCATTCTTCTAAGCTCCAACGAGCACAGACCCAACCTACTCCACTTCTCATAATACAATACCTCTATACTCAGAATCAACCTAGTGAACCTTCTGTGCCCTGCCTCCAATGCCAATATGTACTTCCTCAGGTAAAGGGACCAGAAATGTTTACAGCTGTGGTCTATCTACCGCTTTGTGTAGTTTCAGCAAGACTTCCCTTTTTATATACTCCCAGTCCCTTTGAAATAAAAGATAACATTCTATCTGCCTTCCTTACGTGAACTTTGAGATTTATGCACAAGGACTGCCAAATCTCTGTGTTGTAGCTTCCTGCAATCTATCTCAATTTAAATAATATTCAGCTCCTCTATTCGTCCTGCCAAAGTGCATGATCTTACATTTTCCCACATTATGTTCCATCTGCCAAGTTTTTGCCCACTCACTCAACCTGCCTATATCCTGCCATCCTCACTACTTGCCTTTCCACCTCCTTTTGTGTCATTCTGCAAACTTGGCTGTAGTACAGTCAATTTGCTCATCCAAGTCATTAATATAAGAGTCATAGAGGTATATAACACAGACCCTTCGGTCCATCTCGTCCACGTCAACCAGATATCCTAAATTTAGTCCCGTTTGCCAGCATTTGGCCCATATCCCTCCAAACCTTTCCTATTCATATACCCATCCAGATTCCTTTTAAATGTTACAACTGTACCAGCCTCCTCCACTTCCTCTGGCTGATCATTCGATACACGCTCCACCCTCTGCATGAAAAAGTTTCCCCTTAGGTCCCTTTTAAATCTTTCCCCTGTCTCCTTAAACCTATGTCTGTTGTAAATGATTGTGGCCCTGTACAGGTCCCTGGGGTACTCCAATAGTTACAGGTTGCCATCCTGAAAATGTCCCTCTTATCCCAGATCTGTGTTTTATTAATTGGACAGTCCTCTATTTGTGCTGATATACCGTTTCTAATACCATGGGCTCTTATTAAATTGCTGAACACATGATATTTCTAAATTCTCTGCTGTTACATCCTCAGTAATAGACAATCTAACATCTTCCCAATACAGGTGCTAAGCCAACTGGCCTATGGCTACCTGTTTTTTTTTACGTTTCTTTTAAAATAAAAGTATTATATTGGCAATTTTCCAATCCTCTGGGTCTTTTCCAGAATCTGAGGATTCTTGGAAGATTACTCCGAGTGTATCCTCTCTCTCTGTAGCAGGATGTTTCCAATCAGGTCCGGTGGACTTGTGGGTCTTTAGCCCCATAGTTTCCCTAGTACTTTTTCTCTGGAGATAGTCATTGTATTTATTTTCACTCCTCCTTTTAATCCCTTGATTATTTAGCAATTTTGGAGTGCTGTTAATGCTGAAAACATCAGGAAACCTTATCTTTACATACAAAATTGGCAGGCAGAGAAAAACCAACTGGTCCATCAAGATTGCTTCAGACTTCATAATAACTGGGCATCATACCTGGACAGTTATCCTTCCTCTAGCCAGGTTATCTCCTGGAGTAAGCAAAAGAAACAAAACCCAGGACCAAAAAGGGATAAAAGTACTGCTGTCTCTCTCTCTCTCTCTTTCTGTATTTATTCCCCACTGGGGCTGGGCACAAACAGATGGTTTAGGGAGATCTAGCTGGATGCGAGGGTGAAAGGAGAAATAAAGAGATGGCAAGGGTGTTACGATGTTTTATGAAGATTTTCTGCCAGTTTTCAATGAACCTTTCAAGTAGTGGCTAGAACATTAATTGCGTAAATCCTTTCTGTTCGGCAGGGTGGGTGGCTTAGTGATGAATTGGCAGCTAGATTTACACGGATTAACTCAAATCCAGCTAAATTAAATCGGTTTGGCCAGAGGTGCTGTATGTGGATCAAAGTTTATATGAATAGAGTGCAGGATAAAAAAGACCAATTTACAGATTGTGTCATAACTACTTAATCGCTCAAAGTTTAGCACGTCTTACCTCAGAGTGCACTTGTTTAGACAAAAGTGCTGCTTTTTGTGGGTAGCATTTGACAAGAGATTAGTTCTATGTAATTATCCTAAGCATTTAAGACGCCAGTGCATAATTGAGGTAGATTCACCGGTTCAGTGAGGACAGTGCACAAAGAGAGATGACGTGCTGTCTTTGCTTCCTTACCTTTGAATCAAAAAGCTTTCATTTATTACTGGCTATCCTGAGTTTAATCCCTAAATGTTGAACTCATTTTAAATATACTTGGTAATATTTCTGCAATCAGAGGGCTGAAGTGCTATGAATACAAGAATAAAACTCCTCTTGTGTCGATTCCAAACACGTTCGAGTGCTTAGTTTTCAAATTATGAAATCTTGGAGAAGGTGGGGTCAGTTGTAAATCCTCCTGTCTCCCCAGTTGGCATGTGATATCTAACCACAAGTAGCTTATAAAAGGAACTAAGGTGAGAGCATTCTCTCTTGATTGGTGTTTGTCTTCCTAATTTTAAAAAAATGCTTTACGTAAGTCAGGAATGAGTTATGCAATTTTCCATTCTTGTAGAAAGAGGTTTAATCATTAAGTTTGATACACAATATAGTACCTGTTAACAATCCATTGTGTGAATGCCTTCTGGTCTGCCTCCCAATCATAATGATACATTAACTTCCTTAACATGCAGAAAGTTTAATCAAGTTGTGAAAGCTACTTGTTAGTTTGGATATTAGAATGATCAACAATGAATACTTCTCCATGCCTGGTTATGTAAAACTATAGACAGAATGCACCCAGAGCACCACAAAAATTTGAATTCTATGGGAAATATTTGAATATCAAGACCATATTATTGGCTTTCATTTTTTTCTCTGGTCTCTTGCTCATACAATGGGAGGATACATTTGCGCATATTCCTCTCTACTATTTTAATAGGTTCCATCATAGTTAAGGCTGGTTTGAGATGCCACAGGTGAAATGGACATTTCTTCAGTGTAGTTTTTTTAAAGTCCACCTTCTGTTCCGATTCCCTCACCTCCTTTTGCTTGTGTCCTAATGTCATGTGGCCTGCCACTAATCAGTCCTTCAAATTGCTCTGCCACTTTTGAGCCTCGAGTTAGGCAGTTAACCAGGTGAAGACATCAATCTTTGAATCATAGAATGATTAACTGCCACAAAGTGGCCACATGCTAATGCTGGCTTCCTACAAAAATAATTCATCTGGTTCTACTCCTCTGTCCTTGATACAGGGGAGTGGTTGATGCAGTCTGCTTTGATCTTCAAGGCTTTTGACAAACTTCTTCACATGTTGCTTAGCAAAGTTAAGGGTCACGGGGAAGGAGGTAATGTACAGGCATGGAATAAAGATTGATTAACAGGGAGGAAACTGAAGAAATAAAGGGGTTATTCTCATGTTGCAAAAATCAGGACTTTGGGCTCTTCGCAATATGTCAATCAATCAATATCATTTGGATGTGGGGTTAAAATATATCTTGAGCTTCACGGAAACCAAAAAATTATGTGGGAATGTGTGCATTCACAAAAATGCAACATGGCTTCAGGAGGATTTGGACAGGCTTAGTGAACAGACAATAACACTGGATAGAATGCAATGTGGAAAAATGTGAGATTATCCACTTTGGTTGGAGGGACAGATGTGCAGCATATTTCTTACTTGGTAAGAGATTAGAAAGTGTAACCCTACAAAAGGACCTGCATGGCTTTGTCAGTAAGTCACTGAAGGCAAACATTTAGACAAAAAGGATGCAAATAATATGTTGGCTTTCTTCGGAAGAAGATTTGAGTATAGGAGTAATAAAGTCTGCCTTCAATTGTAAAGAAGTATGGTTAGGCCATATCTGGAGAACTGTGTGTAGTTTTGGTCTCCTTACCTTATGAAGGATAGCAGTGCCATAGAGAGTGTGCAATGAAAGGTCCATCAGACTTGTACCCAGGATGGAAGGACTGTTTATGAATAGAGACTGGGAAACTTCATTCTTTACAGTTTCGAAGAAAAGTGATTTCATTGAAACCTACAATAAGAAGTAGACAGGATAGGTAAAATGCTTCCCCTGGTTGGAGAGTCTAGAACCAAGAGAGACCATTTCCAATTATGGGCAAACACTTGGATTAGAGATGAGAATTACTTTCCTGAGGGGATTGTGAAACTTTGGAATTCTCTACTTCAGGGCACAATTGAAACTCAGTTATCAAATATGTTTAAGGAACAGATTGGTATTTATAAATTCATCACTTGTGTAAAAAACATATGAGAATATTGTGGGAAAGATGCATTGATATGGATGATCAGCTATGATTGTATTGAATGGGGGAACAGGGTGAATGGCCTGTTCCTGTTTCCAATATTCATGTGAATTAGTGTATTCCAGAATCTGAATTGGTGACCTTTACCCCCAGCATAGCTCTGTAGGATATCTGAGATAGCAAAGGGAGAAACTGTTGATCCGATTCTCCCAAATAGCATATGTTGTCCAAGTCTTGGAGTAGTTGAAAGTATAGGATTAGACCGTATTTAGTGTAGCTACAGGCAGGGGAGCATAGAGAAACTAAAACCTCAATTTCTTTGTGTTTTTTGAAAGGTAGGTGTGTGTCTCTCTAAACCTCCAGTAGTGTATGATCAATGAAAGAAGAATATCAGCAGCAGGCATTCATGGGTTTAAAGCAAAAGGATTTTTTTATTCTCACCATGAAAGACCTAACATTCAAGGAAGATGCACACAAAGTTGGTAATACACTTCTACTTGTGTTAAACTAAAAGAATACTTACAGTTCATTTGCTTTGGAGAGCCCAGTGATAAAGGAAGCTTCTCTCAATCTAAACTACAATTCCAAATATCTGTGATCAGATCTGGATTAATTGCTGATCTTTCTAAATGAAGACTATTCAGGTCATGTAGACAGGTACTTGTTGCTATTGTTTCAGGATGTTCAATTTCTTTATAGGGGAACTCTGACTTTAGAGTCAGGCTGAGAGACTTTTAAACCCCCAAATTCTTGAAAGCCAAAGGTGACACAGTTTTATTTTCTCTGCAGCTGTGGTCTTGTGATATTATTCTGCAGGCTACTTCTGGTCTCCTGAATATTGAGATAAAAGGATTTCACTATCAGAGGACCAGTTTGTCATGTGTTCAATGAGAATTGATATTTAATGATGGTAAATAGTGGTTTTTCACATTTATTTTGTGGATAACGGTTTTCAGCTCTCCTGGTCTGCACATAAGATTCCTTTGACTCTGTTTTGGGGTATGCTTCAACAATGGCAGATGTAAAATCCCATAAAAGAGTGCTATTTAGGCATGTCCATTTGAGGGGAGACCTCACTCACTTTGGAAATTTCTGGAACTTTGATAGTCTGGGATGAAGTTGTAAAAGTCACTTGATCCTCTTGATAGTCATTTTACCAGTTCATTAGTGCCAGTTTTTAAAAATAAGTGCAGGAACAATCTGCTCTGTACAGTTAGTGCACTAAGTAGACCTACTAGTTGCTAATCTACTGCTTCTTGATTGCAGTATGCATTTCCATCAGCCATGTTCACCGGTCCAAAACACTGTGGAGGAAAAGCCCCTTCAGCAACTTATGGTGGTGTTTCACTCTTCCTGTAGTGTAAGTATCATCAAATAAAAGCACTTTGCAACCTGAGCACACCCAGCTGTAAGGGATAGATGTGGTTTAATGAAGAATTAAGATTCCCCCTTCTATATCATATTCAACACTCCCAGCTAACCTATAGAACAAGGTAAAGTTTGCTTCTAATATGCCTATTACTATGCCCTACTGCTAGAAACTCTGCACTACACCTTGACACCTAATCTTTACAAAGTGCTGGTGGTCCTTGGGGTAAGTTGTTATGAGAGGATAACCTCCTAAGTTTGTCTGCCATTTGTTGCTGTTAAATATTCTATTCTGTTCCATATGATACGAGTTGAAAACTTTGAGCATTAATATTCAGGAAGTTTCACAGAGGGAGAGAGATACAGTTTACAACTTGATTTTTAATTCATCACGGGATATGGGCTTCTCTGGCTGGGCCAGCATTTATTGCCCATCCCTAGTTACACTTGAAGGTAGTGAGCTGTGTTCGGGACCTGTTGCAGTCCATTTGGTGTTGGCACACCTACAATTCTGTCATTGCAGGAACTTTAGGATTTTAACCCATCACACTAAAACAGCGATATATTTTCAAGTCAGGATGGTGTATGACTTGGAGGCGAACTTGCAGGTGGTGGTGTTCCCATATATCTGTTCCCCCACATCTGGATAGTGGTGGTTGTGGGTTTGGAAGGTGCTGTCTCAGAACCTGCATGAATTTCTGCAGTGCATCTTGTAGATGGTACACAGTGCGGCTACCGAGTGTCAGTGGTGGTGGAGGGTATGGATTTTTGTGGATGTGGCATTAATCAAATGGTCTGATTTGTCCTGAATGGTGTCATTGTGCCCAAGCATCTTGAGTATTGTTGGAGCTGCACTCATTCAGCCAGGTGTCTGACTATCTCCTTTGAATAGTCTGAGTAACATTGTGCTTTGTGAGCACTGACAACACAAAGATACTACAACATATGGCGTGACACTGCCTGGGCTTCAATGCCTGCACAGTGTAGTAATGGGAAAAGGTGGAACTCTTTTATCGCATTTTAAAATAGTGTAAAGTGCATTTCCAGGTGCATTTTAAAGTGGCTCCTTAGTATGGCATGGGAGGTGTGAAACGGGGCGGGTGGGGGGTTCCACATTTATTTATTGCCCTGGGTGCATTAAAATTAAAATTGAGGGTCATTGGTAAGGGTAGACAGAAAGGAACGTTTCCCTTTGATGGAGGATCAATGACCAGGGGGCATAGATTTATAGTAAGCGGCAAGAGATTTAGAAGAGATGTGAGGAAAAACATTTTTGCCCAGAGTGTGCTGGGAATCTGAAACTCATTATCTGTGACAATGGTAGAGGCAAAATCTCTCATAACATTTAAGAAGTATTTAGATGTGCACTTGTGATGCCAAGGCATACAATGCTATGGGCTGGAAAATAAGATTAGAATAGTTAGTTGGTTGTTTTTTTTACCGGCACAGACTTGATGGGCTGAAAGTCCTCTTTATGTGCTGTAGACTTCCACTAACTGATCTTATCCAAGTCAACAGTAGAGACTGCAACTGACCTCCCCTAGGTTAGTAAGGGAGCCAAAACTTGGTTTTCCACTTCTAATAATCCCATGATGCTCATAAAACATGGTAGGTATGTTGGTAAAGATAAGCTTAGACTCTGATTTGCTTTAGCACTCACTGTTTACAGCTTACTGATGCTAACTATATTGTTCCATGCATATAGAATGGGGCCCTGTTGTGGCACAGTGGTAGTGTCACCACCCCTGGCCTGAGAGACCTGGTTCAAGTCCCACCTGCTCCATAGATATCATAGAATCCCTACAGTGTGGAAACAGGCCCTTCGGCCCAACAAGTCCACAAGGACCCTTGGAGCATCCCACCCAGACCTATCCCCCTGTAACCCATCTAATCTACAGACCCCGAACACTATGGACAATTTAGCACGGCCAGTCCACCTAACCTGCACATCTTTGGACTGGGAGGAAACTGGAGCACCCGGAGGTAACCCCCACAGACACGGGGAGAACGTGCAAACTCCACACAGCCCGAGGGTGGAATTGAACCCGGGTCCCTGGCGCTGTGAGGCAGCAGTGCTAACCACTGAGCCACCGTGCCACCCTATATGTAATAACATCTCTGAACAGGTTGATTAGATGATTAGAAAAGTAGTTAAAGGATGGTCACCATGCCTGTAGAGTGGCAGCTGGCAAGATTTAATGTTTTAGAAGGAGAAAAGTGAAATGGAGAAATGGTTAGGGAGCTCATTGAAAATTATGAAGGGATTTGATGAGATAGGCAGAGAGAAGATGCTTCCACTTGTAGGGAGTCCAAAGCTCAGGGTCATGCAAATAAGATAAAAATTAATCAATTCCATAGGCATTCAGAAGAAACTTTACCTAGAATGTTGGATCTACTGCTGCACAGAAGAAATGAGGTGGCAAGCTTAGATGTATTTAAGGGGTAGCTAGATATGGACCTGAGGGGAAAAGGAGTAGTTGGACAACTTAGTAAGAGTGGATGAAGTATGCAAATTGGCCTGTTTCTATGCTGTGAAATTCTGTGTAATCTTGTGTACAGATACAGGAACGATCTTGCTATTGATTGACCTGTGATTCTGACTTTGTCTGTTATTGAATTGGTTTTCTCTGCTTGTTAATTTCCAGGATAGCAGGCCAAATTATCTTAGTCGTGGTGGATTTAAAACTCTGGAAGAACACGGCCACCTCACTGACCTTTGATCTACAGGATATTCCGTTGATCTCCTGGCTCATTGGCTTTCTGTCTGTCATTCTAGTAATGTTGGTCAATGAAGTGGTCAAGTTGCACGAAATTCGGTAAGTGCACCAGCTCATATGGTGTTAAGAGGCTACGCCTTCTACATCCATTGTTGATCTTGAGCCAGAGTCAGGGACACAGTGACAGGGTTGGGACAAACCTCTGCACCAATCCTAAAAGAGAATTTTTCTTGAACTCTTGACGTTTCGAGACAAGAGAATTCCATTCAAAGTTTTCTTTTTACAAAAAGAACTTAATTTCTGCAGTGGGAATTTTACAGTAAATTTATGGTATCATGAGTTTTTTGAAACTGAATTTGCAGAATTCACGCTGTTATAGATCATCTTGGATTCTGTGTCTGAAATCAGACGCTGCAGCGTCCTTATCTGACAGGAAGCTGTACTATCCTGGGTTAACCTCTTATGGCAAAGAATAACATTTTTTGAGACATTGGAGTTTTATTTTAAATCTCCTCCCCCGCTTTGAACTTGGTCTTTTCCCTCTTTGTCCCTCCCCTCAGCTTTCCATCCTTTTCAAACTTGTTAAGGAAGCAGAGATACCAGTGTTAGAAGGAAAAGGAAGGCTTGCATGAATATAGCGGCTTGCTCAGTCGCCAGACCAATCAAGAGATTTTACGTGATCTTCATTGTAATTCAGGAAGTCTGGTAGTTGGTTTGCTGTGCATTTACCCAAAAACTGTAATGGAAGGATGGTTGGCCTCTGAGATTAGCTATTAATTTGCCTTTAAGCTTTGTGCCCGCTGACAATTTCAAATTCCTTCGCAAATGCGTGCACAAGTATAGATTAATGTTCATCCAAACAGGAACTTGTGTTTATATAGTGCATTTCACAGGAGTGTAAGCAGACACCAAGCTAACGAAGGAACCATTAGGAATAGTGGCCAGAGGCATAAGTCAAAAGGCTCACTTTTAGCAGCATCTTAGAGGAGCGAGAGGTGTAAAGGCAAAAAGGTTTGGAAAGGAAATTCCTGAACTTGGAATCTAAACAAGTGGAGTCAGGGCACGAGTGGCAATGCACAAGAAGCCAGAGTTGGAGGAACACAGATCTCAAAGAATTGTGGAGCTGGAAGAGGCTATACAAGTAGGTAGGGATGAGGTCTGAGATTGCACATGAGGATGCAAATTTTAAAATTGAGTAATTGCTGGACCATTAGATGGTGTAGGGCAATGAGAACACGGGTGATTGGTCAAGAATATTTGAATTTGAAGGGGATATTATATGACCGTACTACCTTTAACTTCATTCATGTTTACAACACGAGTCAGTGCTGCTGATTACGTAAATGTTTTAACATGCGAATTTGAAGTGATTTTCTCATGCTGTGAACAGTTAATGCCCAAGAAATAAATCTGCTTGTAGCTGTCCTATTTTAAGTGACCCTGTAACACCTTAAAAGGAGAAATAGCTGTGTGCTTATATGCATGTCAGGTGTCTCAGAACCAAATTCAGTTTTGATAAGTGTAATGGACAAATTAACCCAAGAGTAATCTTTTTCTTAATTTCTACATATAAAATTCAGTTTTCTTAAATTTAGCTCATTGCTGGATTAATTCAGCTTTTAAGTGAAGTCAAAAAATCTGGCCCTTTTCCTCTTGTTTCTTCAGAGTACGAGACCGTTACCAGAAAAGGCAGAAGTTACAGTTTGAAACTAAGCTGGGAATGAATTCTCCGTTCTAATGCTGGGACTCGTGCTAGAGAGCCACGTGAACAACTACAGGAGAACTCCTCAACTGACTTCAGTTAGTTCAGGACGTTCAATCAGAAGACCCAGAGACCCAGATTACTACTGCATGAAGACTTCAGAAGCTGCCAGTCTTGTGTCAAATGAAGGATTTTTGCCAGAAACGCTCGGACAGATGCACAGGCTATAAAGATACAAAATGCAGTGCTTTCGGAAATGGTACCTGGAAATGCATGGCAAAAAGGAAAAGAACAAAAGACTTATAAAATTGATGTACTATGCTGTAAAGCCTGATTACCTACCTCCAGTCACTGGAGAGACCATTACTTTAATACATGCAGTCTCTTTTCACTTTGTCTCTCCATTGAGCTATGGAGCCCAGGAGTTGCATTACAGCGACAGCACGAGGAGCTGCTGCTTCAGCGGAAGATGTAATGAGTTGTAACTTCACAGGAAAATTGCAAAAGCTGCCAGTGGTTTTGTCTTTGCTCATTTGGGGGATTTGAAGTCCCTTAGCTCCATACCAGTGTTCACTGATATAATAACCTCACATTAGAGACCTTTACTATTGAAAGTGTCTTATAGAGCAGGAGTGGAAGCTTCATCCAACAACCATTTTTAAATTTCAACTCTCCATTAGGGCTTCCTACACCAGTCAAGTCAATGGTCAGTCAGCAGTCAGAAGCCCTGTGCAGGCCTGTGGTTTATTTGTCTGCTGCTTAGAGATTATTTTTAATGAAAGATCTCCTTAGGTCAGTAGGAGTCGGGGTCAGAATTTGCCATGTCGAGCCAAGCTGTGAATACCCACCTGGCTGGGATTGTAAGGTACCATCTGTGTGCGCTGGACCAGGCTGTCTGTATTTAGTTTTGGGGGGTGTATTGTGAACGTCACATTTCTGTTGTGTGATTGTTTGCAGGTAGGGGCAAATTAAGTGTTTTATGTCGGTGGTTGCCTATGTTGGTGCTTATCTGCTGGGATTGTTCTGATGGAGGAGCAGTCCTGTGAAGAGAACTGGCTGGCTGCACAGATTTGCTGGTCACTAGCTATTGTCATGCCTGTGTGGCATCAAACTGATCATACTCTAGGCCAAATCTGCATGTTCCTGTACTATCTACTCACCAGTCTCTTAAGTGGATTACAGATCCCTGTCACACGCCTTGTTGAATTAATTCTGCAACGTTTAATTTTTATATTCAGCCAACGTTGTTTTATACATTTTCCACATCCTGAATGAAACACACTGGGCCTTAAGACCCTGCAAAGTTAACTATTTAAAGTCTGTGCTAAACATGAAACTGCCTTGTTTATTAGGTTGGGCAGTATACTTTAAAGGGGATGTTAACTGTGAGGCTGTGTATGGGAGGGTCCACAGTGGAACCATATTCTGGTTTTGTTTACAGCCCTAGCTTAAAGTAAAAATAAATGGAAGACCTATCTACATTGGTCAAGAATCAGAAGCCTACAGTTTTTGAAATGCAATTTGCAATTAAAAAAATCATGTTTAATGTTTAATAGGCATCTGGACCATCCAGCATTAAATCACTAATCCTGCAAAATATCGGGCATCTTGGGTCACTGAGGCTTCATGAGGTTTCAAGGACTGGTTTACTCCCTCACTGCTAGAGCGTTCCATCTTCTAATCAGGCTTTGTTATAATAATGATCACATGTCCCTGCTATTATTGCCTTTCCCCTCTGACTTCTCTTTACTTCTGTTTTAATTTTTTCCTGTTTACTGTTTGTATTTTACAATTCCAAAGAAAATCATGTCAACAGTTGTATTGATGTGGGGAGTACAATGCGAGCGATGTCACCACAATGTATGTGACAATGTCGTGTGCACTTCAGTATATGCAGACTTCATGGAGAACCGATGTTACACTCAGTCTCCATTACCCCCATAGCTTCTTACACTGTGCCAAGGAATCATTTCTTTCAAGGGGGGTAGGATTTAGCAGTTCGTGACAGGAAAAGCAGCTCAAATGCAGGAGTTGACGCTAGCAATCATAGTGAATATGTGGCATGTGCATGTCTGATATGTAATCTAGTCAGTGAATTCCAGTCTGTTTCGGCAGAGAATGGTGTGTGCTGGTAAAGGCAGTCAAGATTAAGAGATGGAAACGTTGACTGACCGCCCAGTAAATGTTTGTTTGATATTGTGCATTGCTGACATGCCTGTGGAAGTCTACACTCAAGTAATTCCACATATGCTAAGTCTTACAACACTTTTACAACACTCCTTAATTCAGTGATTAAAGCAATTGTGTTTTCATTTGGAAAACCACATTGAATCTTCACGAGTGCACCTGCACTGTGCCTGATGGTTGGGGGTTTTGACATTCGGGTGTGAAGCCCATGGCATTCTTTAATCGTGCAGCATTTATGTGACAACTCTGTAACGATTCAGATTCAGTATGTACTTGGTGATGTTTGCGTTTTATTTGCATTCTGATCATGCCATTAACCTTGAAGCCCTGTTTTGTTTTGTTTTTTACCCCTTCTGCTCCTCTATATGTTTCAGGGGATGGGGAGAGGCAGGTCTAACCCCCCCCTGATTACTCCCACTCAGTTTGTCATGTGTAAAACAGTAGGACACTGGGGAGTGAACAGAGTCTCCCTTGACATCATCTTCCATTGCAGAGATGCCTCAACAAGGCAACAGTTGTGTGTGCTGTACCTGATGGCACAGCATTGCCAGTACTGAGGTTTCCCTTCATTTTCAGCCATTCATCTTTCAAGGAAAAGGGCTGGTCACATGGTTTTAATCAGGTTTGACCCTAAAATCATCAGGCTTTTTCTGAAGCTCTTAAAAAACAAATCATTCAAGAACTTTTTGAGGTAGTCACTCTGACAGTTTGGTATTGCCTTGGCATCAGTGTTTTTAACCATCAGAAAAGTGGTAAAAGAATGAGCAACGTCTGCTCATTAAATGTACATGGGTTTGACAGAGGAATGCACTACCAGCTGTTGTTCCTGTAGGTGAGAACTTGTGCTATAAAGCCCCAGAAACATTACCCCATATCCTTGTAAAATCTCACCAAGTCTTTAATTGCCCTTGGGGAACATTTTCAGTTATCACATGATAGGGGGCTGGTGGTGGAGAGCAGAGATGAACTTGACAAGAAAGTGTTGGCTTGTGTGGTAAGAAGGTGAGTCACACAGGCAGAAGATGAACACTGAGCTTTAGCAAATTATTGCACTGCACTTGGCAACAGGTTGCAGTCCTTGTGGGCACTAGGCAGGTCTATACCCTTCTCAAGTGAGACACATGTATCTGCACAGTAGAAGCTGGAAAATGACAAAGCCATTTGTTCAGAGTCGGCTTGGCTGAAAGATGGGAGCTAGCAGCAGTCCCAACAGAGAGAAATTGTAACCAGAAACATTAGCAGGCAGGTTGATGTATGCCCTTTAAGGATAAACTAAATGAAGTGCCTCCCTAGGACAGATGTCTCCTGCAAATTGTCTTACAGCAGTTTGTTTCTAAACTATGCAATTACATTATAGTTGGTGGAGTTGACTGTGTTTAAGAAGCTACCCACCTTGTCACTGCAACATTGGTACAGACTTTCCAACCTGCATTTATAATGTTTTGAAGCTAGTATTTGGGAGTTACATGACCAGCTTGAGATGAACACCCTCCATTTCCTCCTGTTTACTGTCTCATTCTTACACAGCACCTGACTTCTGCCTGTGTATTTCTACAGTGCCAAGGCTGGAGGAGGCTGCACTTACAATGGGAATGAGTAGCAGCCCTTCACACTTCCTTGCTTCCATGGTTCACACTGGTATTGCAATGCACACCAGTAAGTAGATGGCCTCCCTGGTTCATAGGGCAGGAAGGAATTGGAAGAATGTTTGTATCACAGCAGGGGTAACAACCGAGATCAATCACTGCTTCTGCCCTATTTCTGAAAGTTACATCTCACCCACGACAAACACCTTTAACCTTTTTATGAAAACAAATTTTGTAAAGTTGTTTCAAATTTATTTACAAAGAAAGTGGAAATTGTACCATTCCATCACAACACAAAGGTGGGGAAGGACATTTGGATTTTGTGCACTTTCTTTAGAAGAGAGCTGCTGTTTGGTGTAAAGGAGTGTTGAAACATCTCCCCACCCCAACCACCAGCAAGGGCTTAAAATAACTGATTTCAACCATTAGCTACTGACCAGGTCTGAAGACCATGGGGTGATCCATCCTGGTAATTCTTCGAGATTAAAAAAAATTGTGTTAGACAATACATTTGTTGAAACAGTTCTTATGTCTCTGTCAAATATTATTTCAATTTGTTATTGTCACAATGTTACATCCCTCTGCTGCCCCATCCTCTATTGAAGTCTTTCTTCACCTTTATCCAATTTTTTGGTGCTGTTGTTTTACAGATGATTGAGAAGTGGCAATTCTTTACTTAGCAGATTCCCTGTGCTGTGATTCCAAGAGATTCTGGATACTGAAACTAGGTGTTGGTTCTAATTTCCACCCCAAGTTTTCTAACGCCCACTGTTAGATCTGAATGAATCAAAAGTGAATTAGACATTGGTGCAATAACGCTGCCCATTGATGGGATGTAAATGTTGTACAAAGTGCTAGCAACAGCATGTCACTGAGACATTGTTTCTAACTTATTTGTAAATGGAGTTGTTTGGTTTGAACAACTGAGCTTTCTACGCTGTAATAAGAATGCTGATTCCTCAGCAGCATGTACCTGGGTTTGTTGCTTTGTGAAAATAAACTCAATAAATTTCTAACTAATCGTGAAAGCTGGGTACAGATCAGGGATATTATGTGGCCAACCTGACGACTTTCCAAAATGTGCCGTACCCAGACCCTTCCCCATCTCAATAATTCCAAGGTTCTTTGATTCGTTTTCACAGTCAAATTGATAAGCTGTAATTAAGGTGAGATTTCTTTGTGATGACCAATGCACAATGCAAAACAGCTCTTTCTCTTGTTTAAACAAAACAAGAATGAGTGTATGCAAACTCACTTTTCTCCAAAGATGGTGTTTCCCATTGGATTTAGTGATCTGCATGCTACCACATCAAACCCAATTTGCAATGGGGTTTCTCACCCATGTTAAGTTGAACACGCATCTGCCAATGATTGATTTTCATTGCCAAAAGTGCCGGCTATATCCTGGTGGTGGTAGTGAGGCTTCAATATGATGATAGTCAGGAGCCCCATCCTGATGTGCAGTAATGCCACGTGCACAAACCTGGTTCTGTGATATTTTATAACTGTACATTGTGTAAAATGTTTAGAGATATTTAATAATGCTATACTGTTATTTTTGAATTTTACTATGATCAAAACTTGTAACCTGTAAAAACAAATTGCAATGGCAATAAATAGTGTCTTTGTAGTCTGTGTCCTGATCTTTAACGTAGTAGTTTTACTTTGGTTTAGGCGTTCAGTCACAACAATTTAATCCCTCATTCAGAAGCTTCATTGATTTGCCTGGGGGTATGTCGTGCAGAAAAAAAACCTAAATGTATAACCATTGCAATGGCCGATTTAGCAGAGCAAGGTGTTATCACTCATTATTCCACTTACTGATATCTGTTGGCTTTCAGTTTAGAGTCATAGAGATCTACAGCATTGAAAAGGGGCCCTTTGGCCCATCATAAACAAGCACCTATATTAATCCCATTTTCCAGCACTTGCCTTGTAGCCTTCTATGCCTTGGCATCACAAGTGTACATCTAAATACTACTTAAATGTTAAGTGAAATTCTATTCTACCACCCTTATAGGCAGTGAGTTCCAGATTCCCACCACCCTCTGGGTGAAAAATGTTTTCCCCTCATTTCCTCTAAACCTCCTGCCTTTACCTTGAAATTTAAATCCTTGTTTTAAAATCCCACCATGGTCATGCAACTCCCTATCTCTGACCCTCAGACCTCTATATTCTAATTCAATCTCTTGCAGTCCTAAACTGCAATTCCCTGGCTAAATTTCTACCCACATCCCACTGTCTGATGTTTCTTAAAACTGAACTTATTGACCATGTGTTTGCTCACCTGGAGTAATCTCACCTGGAGTAATCTCATCTTGAGGCCCTGTGAATTGGGAACTGGACTAAGCCATTTGGCCCATCAAGCCTGCTTGGTCATTCTGCCCATAGAGTCTGATATTGAGGAATCTTGCCCACTGTGTGATGACCCTGATATATGATCTCTGTTCATGAATGCAGGTTGCATGGATTCCTACTAGAGGGTGCAGGGTGTCTGCAGTGTGCTCTCGTGAACCTGGCAATAGAAAGTTCGAGGTCACAGTACAAATCCACCAGGGATTTGAACGCAGAGTGATTTGCGGAGTGGGAGCCAGTTCAGGGCAGCAAGCACTGCACTGATTGGTGGGTAGGGTTTGTTAAGAATTGGGATGAGGCCAGCAGAGTTTTCAATGACTTTGGTTTATCAACCTCCATAAAGTTGAAGGCTGCCCCAGGGACAATAGATCAGTTCCAGGTCAGTCTCCATTCCCTTATGGTGTGGCCCACCACAATACAGTGCATGTGTCAGGTAGTCTCTTCTTCCTGTCTGTTGGGAATAACAAAATCTGTGCGTGTAACTTTCTCTTCAATGATTTTGAAATCAGGATATCATGAGTGTCAGCTTTTTTACTCAATTTTGCTGGTCGCTAATGGCCTTGCATTTAGATTTCACATTTTATTAACAATGAGGGAAACCTCAATCTGATCTGAATTAAGATGAAGTGACCTGGATATTAGAACAGTGCTCAATTTTCCTACAGTAGGACTGCAAATTCTACTCTTAGAATTGAAGTCAGTGATCTTGCTGGGAAATGGGCGTATTTACAAATTTCAACAGTTTTCACTTGTAATAATGTTATGTGATCATAAGAAATAGGAACAGGAACAGGCCATTCAGCTCCTCAAGCCTGTTCCACCATTCAATAGGATCATAGATAATTTTCTCATGTCCATATTTCTGCCTTTTCCCCAAAACCCATGATTCCCCAATTGATCAAGAATCTATCAATCTCAATCTTGAATACACGCAAGGACTCTGCACCTTCCCCCACGTAGCTTTGTGGCAAAGAGTTCCATAAACGTTCAATCCTCCAAAAGAAGAAATTCCTTTTCATCTCAGTCTTAGATTGGCACTCCATTATTCTGAGACTATGCTCTCTGGTCCTAGACTCTCCCATGAGGGGAACGTTCTCTCACCATTTATCCTGTTAAGCCTTTTAAGAATCTTAGATGTTTCAATCAGATCACCTTTCATTCTTCGAACCTGTGGTTGAGGAACATGCTCATACTCACTGTTTAGGCTTACTCCAGAAAGCTACCCATGCTTTCACACTGCCAATTGACCCTAACCTGCACATCTTTGGACTGTGGGAGGAAACCAGAGCACCCAGAGGAAACCCACGCAGA